CATACTGCTTGGCCCACTCAGTCTCTCTCTCACACACACAGTCACACACACATACACGGGCGCGCAGTTGGGGCGGTTTCCACTGTGTGTGTACAGGGTTTTGAAAATCTTTTAAATCAAGGTGTAAATGCAGCATTTTAAATATAATTAAGATGTCGGCACAGTGGAGAACAACACTCTCCTCTGAACTGGAATAAGTGCCTTTGATACAGATGCTGTATTAGTGTTTATAATGAGAGATTGCATCCCATCGCTATGGTCCTATTGTGCGCAAAGAAGGTAAGTGTTTTTTATGGAAACGATAGTCGAGTATTTTATAATGAACAGGGAAATGGCTCTAGAAATAGTTCACCTTAATAGCATAGATCTAAATAGAATAGATATAAATATAATATAAATATAATAGAATAGATCTAAAATAAAATATACAAGTGTGGGGTTCAGAAAATGGAGATTTCCTAAAAAAGACGAAACACCACCGTTTCGAAAATGGCTTCGGGATCTCCGAACGCCAAAATAACCGAAGCACATGATTCCTATAACCACGCCATTTCCTCCTTCCCCAAAACAATCACGTGACTAGCAACACCCCAGTTTCCTTTCTTTTCACAACAAAAATTCCCTTGAATAATAACAGCCCAATTTCCTTTCTTTTCACAACAACAAAAAATCCCTTGAATAATAACACCCAATTTCCTTTCTTTTCACAACAACCAAAATCCTTGAATAATAACACCCAATTTCCTTTTTCTTTTCCAACAAAAAAAAATCCCTTGAAAATAACCCCAATTTCCTTTTTATTTTCGCAGGCTCACGGGCCGTATGCCTATGCCAAGAGAGCGGCTATTATGGTTGTCATGGTTGTGACAATGTGGTTCCAAATTTCGACGAAAGTCACGATCGAGAGACATCGTGACTTCCCAGTTGCAAGCCTCATAGACACACAACCCCCCTTCAGAGAGGCGAATGGCACCATGGCTTGCACCATACCTCCGTCAGGCCTCGGTCAGTGAGTCGAGGAGCCGTGGGTTCCGTAGAGGTTCAGTGCGGGTTGTTCGTCTGCCTCTCTCTCTCTCTCTCTCTCATTCGCTCTTTCGTATTTTCTATTTTTTCCCCCGCGCTGACTATTTTTCTCTCTCTCCTCCTCCTCCTTATCCTTGGCCTTCTTTTCCTCTTCCTCCTCCTCCTCCATCTTGTCGTCCTCCTCCTCCATCTTGTCGTCCTCCTCCTCCATCTTGTCGTCCTCCTCCTCCTTATTCTCCTCCTCCTCCTCCTTATTCTCCTCCTCCTCCTCTCTCTTTCTCTCTCTCCTCTTCTTTCTTTCTCTCTCTTCTTTCTTCTCCTCTCTTCTTTCTTCTTCTCCTCCTCTTCTTTCTTCTCCTCCTCTTCTTTCTTCTAATCCTCTTCTTTCTTCTAATCCTCTTCTTTCTTCTAATCCTCTTCTTTCTCTAATCCTCCCTCCTCCTCCTCCTCCTTCGCCTTCTCTTCCTCCTTTGCCTTCTCTTCCTCCTTGCCTTCTCCTCCTCCTTTCGCCTTCTCCTCCTCCTTCGCCTTCTCCTCCTCCTTCGCCTTCTCCTCCTCCTTCGCCTTCTCCTCTCCTTCGCCTTCTCCTCCTCCTTCGCCTTCTCCTCCTCTTTCGCCTTCTCCTCCTCCTTCGCCTTCTCCTCCTCCTTCGCCTTTCCTCCTCCTCGCCTCTCCTCCTCCTCCTCCTCCTCCTCCTCCCTCCCTCCTCCTCCTCTCCTCCTCGCCTTCTCCTTCCTCCTCCTCCTCCTCCTCCTCCTTCGCCTTTTCTCTCCCTCCTTTCTCTCCTCCTTCGCCTTCCTCCTCCTTCGCCTCTCTTCCTCCTTCGCTTCTCTTCCTCCTTCGCCTTCTCTTCCTCCTTCGCCTTCTCTTTCTTCGCCTTTCCTCGCTCTTCGCCTTCTTCCTTCTCCTTCGCCTTCCCTCCTCCTTCGCCTTCTCTCCTCCTCGCCTTCTCCTCCTCCTCCTCCTTCTTCTCCTCCTCCCCCTCTTCCTCCTCCTCCTCCTCCTTCGGCTCCTGCTCCTTCTCCTCCCCCTCCTCCTCCTCCTTCTCTCCCCCCTCTTCCTCCTCCCCCTCTTCCTCCTCCCCCTCTTCCTCCTACTCCTCCTCCTCCTCTCCTCCTCCTCCTCCTCCTCCTCCTCCTCCTCCTCCTCCTCCTCCTCCTCCTCCTCCTCCTCCTCCTTCTCTGCTCCTCCTCCTCTCCTCCTCCTCCTCCTCCTCCTCCTCCTCCTCCTCCTCCTACTTCTGCTCCTTCGGCTCCTTCGGCTCCTTCGGCTCCTCCTCCTCCTACTCCTCCTCCTCCTACTCCACCTCCTCCTACTCCACTACTCCTCCTCCTACTCCACCTCCTCCTACTCCACCTCCTCCTCTCCACCTCCTCCACTCCACTCCTCCTACTCCACCTCCTCCTACTCCACCTCCTCCTACTCCCTCCTCCTACTCCACCTCCTCCTACTCCACCTCCTCCCTACTCCCCTCCTCCTCCTCTCTTCCTCCTCTCCTCCTTCCTCCTCTCTTCTTCTCCTCCTCCTTCTCCTTCTCCTTCTCTCTCCTCCTTCTCCTTCTCCTTCTCCTTCTTCTCCTCCTCCTCCTTCTCCTCTCTTCTCCTCCTCCTTCTCCTCCTTCTTCTTCTTCTTCTCTTCTTCTCTCTTCTCTCTCTTTCTCTTCTCCTTCTCCTTCTCCTTCTCCTTCTCCTTCTCCTTCTCCTTCTCCTTCTCCTTCTCCTTCTCCTTCTCCTTCTCCTTCTCTTCTCCTTCCTTCTCCTTCTCCTCTCTCCTTCTCTTCCTCCTCCTCCTCCTTCTCCTTCTTCTCCTCCTCCTACTCCTACTACTCCTCCTTCTCCTCCTTGTCCTCCTTCTCCTTTTCTTTCTCCTCCTTTTCTTTCTCCTTTTTTTCTTTCTCCTCCTCCTTTTCTTTCTCCTCCTTTCTTCTCCTTCTATTTCTCCTTCTTGTCTTCCTCCTACCTCCTTTTCTTTCTCCTTCTCTTTCTCCTTCTCCTTGTCTTCCTCCTACCTCCTTTTCTTTCTCTTCTTTTCTCCTATTCTTCTCTCTTTCTCCCTCCTCCTCCTCCTATTCTTTCTCTTCTCCTCCTCCTATTCTTTCTCTTTCTCCTCCTCCTCCTCCTATTCTTTCTCTTTCTCCTCCTCCTCCTCCTATTCTTTCTCTTTCTCCTCCTCCTCCTCCTCCTCCTATTTCTTTTCTTTCTCCTCCTCCTATTCTTTCTTTCTCCTCCTCTTATTCTTTCTCTTTCTCCTCCTCCTATTATTTCTCTTTCTCCTCCTCCTATTATTTCTCTTTCTCCTGCTCCTCCTATTATTTCTCTTCTCCTGCTCCTCCTATTATTTCTCTTTCTCCTCCTCCTCCTATTCTTTCTCTTTCTCCTCCTCCTCCTTTCTTTCTCTTTCTCCTCCTCCTCCTCTTCTCTTTCTCCTCCTCCTCCTATTCTTTCTCTTTCTCCTCCTCCTCCTATTCTTTCTCTTCTCCTCCTCCTCCTATTCTTTCTCTTTCTCTCCTCCTCCTATTCTTTCTTTCTCATCCTCCTCCTATTTTTTCTCTTCTCATCCTCCTTCTCCTCCTCCTCCCCCTCTTCTTTCTTCTCCTCTTCCCCCTCCCTCCTCCTGCTGCTGCTCCACCTCCTCCTTCCCTTCTCCTCCTCCTCCTCCTCCTCCTCCTCCTCTTATAATCATTATTCCTCTTCCTCATCTTCTCCCTCTTCCTAAACTTTTTCCGCCTCTTCTTCGTCTTCTTCCTCCTCTCCTTCCGCTTCCTCATATTTTAATATCAATAATGACTTATTTTGAAGTACTATCACTCGAACACCTTATTCTATAAACAAGACCATTATGAAGACACAACAACAGTCGTTTGAAAAGTGTTTGGGAGCAATAAGGGTTAGATTGGCGTGTTCAAGAGCCGTTTGTAATTGTAATGTTTTTTTATTTTATTTATTTATTTATTATTATTATTATTATTTTTTTTTTTTGGGGGGGGTTGTGGACCTATTTTAAGTATTGTTATTACAGTTCTGATTTATTTATTTATTCCATTATGATTGCCATTATTATTATTATTACTTGTTTATTCATATCATTATTATTTTGTACATATATTATTGATGATGATTTTTATTGTTATTATTATCATCAGTTTTAACAAGTAATAAAGATGATTATTATACTTTTTGTTAATTGACATTATTATTATTATGTTCTTTATTATAATATTTTTTTTTACAATTATTATTTCTACTATCATTATTTTTTAAATTCATCATAATTTTTTTGTCATTATTATTTTTACAATCCTTATTATCTTTGCCAATCATTATTTCTTACAATTATTATTCTCCTCCTTATTACCATAATCATTATAATCATCATCCCTCTCATTGCAGTTGCGTGGATGGATGTGAAAACCGGAATAACCGAAGCCGAAGCCATGGCCAATTTGACCAACGTTCGGAAGGGTGGGAGTTGGTGGCCACAGGAGTGCTTGGCCCCATGGAGAGTGGCCATCGTGGTGCCATACAGGGACAGAGAGGACATGGTTCGTTTTATTATTATTATTATTATTTTTATTATTATTATTATTATTATTATTTAAAGTCCGTCTGTGTGTTTTGTTTTATTTTTATCACGTGTATTTATTCGTTTTTTTTTTCTTTTTTAAAGATTTTATGTAAGCGTGTTTCTGCTCTTTCCTTTTCTCTTTCTCATTTTTTCTCTCTTTCTGTCTTTCTTTCTCTTTTTCTCTCCCCCCTCTCTCTCTCTTTGTCTCTCTCTCTTCGTCTCTCCTTATCCCTGTCCCTGTCCCTCTCTCACCTCTCTCCTTCTCTTTCCCCCTCTTTCCCTCTCACCTTCTCTTTCCCTCTCGCTCCACCCCTCTTTCCCTCTCTCTCTTCCCCCTCTTTCCTCTTTTTTTCCCCCTCTCCCTCTTTCCTTCCCTTTTCTTTCCCTCTCCCTCTCCCCCTCTCCCTCTTTTTTCTCTAAAATTACCATCCCTCCAAACAATTATTTAAGTACTAACCCTTCCTTTCAGATTAGGATGAATGAATCTGCCTGGTCCTTGTCTTAACCATTATTTTTTTCTTTCTCACCTGCACATAGCTGGGTCCATTTCTAAACCACATGCACCCGTTTCTTCAGCGGCAAAAGCTCAACTATACCATCTATATCGTGGAACAGACAGGTCAGGGAGGGAGGAGGGAAGGGAGGGTAGGAGGGAAGGGAGGGTAGGAGGGAAGGGAGGGTAGGAGGGAAGGGAGGGTAGGAGGGAAGGGAGGGTAGGAGGGAGGGAGGGAGGGGAGGGGAGGGAGGGAGGGAGGGGAGGGAGGGGGGAGGGAAGGGGAGAGGGAAAGAGGGAAAGAAGGGAAAGGGTAGAGAGGGTAGGGAAGGGGTAAGAGAGGGGTAGGGAAGGGTAAGAGAGGGTGGAAGGGTAAGAGAGGGTAGGGAAGGGTAAGAGAGGGTAGGGAAGGGTAAGAGAGGGTAGGGAAGGGTAAGAGAGGGTAGGAAGGGTAAGAGAGGGTAGGGAAGGGTAAGAAGGAAGAAGGGAGAGGGAGGAGAGGGGAGGGTAGGAGGGAGGGGAGGGGAGGGTAGGGGGGAGGGAAGGTGAAAGGAGGGTAGGGGGGAGGAAGGGTAGGAGGGAAGGGTAGGAAGGAAAGTGAAAGGAGGGTAGGAAGGAAGATGGGAGGGAAAGAGAGGGTAGGGAAGGAGGGAAAGAGAAGGTGAGAGAGAGGGGTAGGGAGAATGATTTAAAATCAATTTCTTTCTTCAAAATTTCCATCGCACTATACAACTGTAAATGAAACTAATATTTCACAGTATTATCGGAAACACACATACACAAGCAACACATTTAAATCCTAACAACCTAACAACCTCAAGCCTAACAACCTCAAGCCTAACAACCTCAAGCCTAACAACCTCAAGCCTAACAACCTCAAGCCTAACAACCTCAAGCCTAAACCTCAAGCCTAACAACCTCAAGCCTTCAGTTACAACATCAGATTAAAAACCCTGAAACAGTAGCCATAACACTGCATCCACAATACTTGTCCAAAATCTCGGTTGTTAATTACAAACACCTAGTTCGGAAAACACACATGCTAGTTATCACCTGCCCGACCATTACCACGAACCGCCCACCGCCGAATCACAAAGACCACAACCATGCGAATACCTTTTCACCACCACAGACCCCTTATCCGCCCAAGCTCAACCATCATCACCATTGTCATCACCATCGTCAACGTCATTATCATCATCATCATCATCATCATCGCCGTCGTCATCATCATCATATCGTCGTCATTATCATCATCACCATCGTCGTCATTATCATCATATCGTCGTCATTATCATCATCATCATCATCATCATCATCATCATCATCATCATCATCATCATCATCATCAATCATTCATCATCATCATCATCATCAATCATCATCCATCATCATCACATCATCATCATCATCATCATCATCATCATCATCATCATCATCATCATCATCATCATCATCATCATCATCATCAATCATCATCATCATCATCATCATCATCATCATCATCATCATCAATCATCATCATCATCATCATCATCATCATCATCATCATCATCATCATCAATCATCATCAATCATCATCATCATCATCATCACCACCACCACACCACCACACACCACACCATCACCATCACCATCACCATCTTCACCTACCCTTCACTGCCTAATCACATACCCGACACATCGACACACAAACTCATTCACCAACGACCAACATACCCAACCCACATACCCCTACCTAACCAAGCATCCCACCCAACCCCACTACCTACCCAACCCACATGCGCACGCAACCCACATACCCGCCCACCCAACCCATATAACACCCATCAACCCACATACCCACCACCCAACCCACATACCACCCACCCAACCCACATACCCGCCCACCCAGACCACATACCCCCCCTACCCAACCCACATACCCCCCTACCCACCCACATACCCCCTACCCAACCCACATACCCGCCCACCCAACCCACATACCCGCCACCCAACCCACATACCCACATACCCCCTACCTAACCAAGCATCCCCACCAACCCACATACCCATCACCCAACCACATACCCCCTACCCAACCCACATACCCCCCTACCCAACCCACATACCCACCCCCCAACCCACATACCCACCCACCCACCCAACCACATACCCACCCCAACCACCCTACATACCCACCCCGAACTCACCCCCCCCCTGCTTCACCCTCACCCACCACTCTCCCCCTCCCCCTCCCCCTGCTTCACCCCTCACCACCCACTCTCCCCCTCTCCCTTGCTCCACCCATCACCCACCACTCTCCCCTCTCCCCCTGCCAGCGGAAAAGAGCTTCAACAAGGCCATGATGCTGAACATCGGCTACAAGCACGCCCAAGCACAGGGGCCGTGGGACTGCTACGTTTTCCACGACATCGACTGCATTCCCGAAGACGATCGGAATCTCTATTACTGCAGCACCCAGCCGAGGCACCTGGCCGTCAGTCCGGACAAGTTTTATTACAGGTGGGGGTTACTTTAGCATAGTTTACCGGGGTTACCTTGTGACAAACCGTGCGAATGCGATGGTAGAGCCTTTACTTCGGATTAAGATTTTAATAGCAGGTAGTAGGGTCTTTTAATGTTGGTTTTGGCATCGGTTTACCACACACCGTGCGAATGCGATGGTAGAGCCTTGACTTGGGTTTAAGATTTTAAGATTTTGATTGCGAGGGAGGGTCTTTTCATGTTGGTTTTGGGCGTCGGTTTACCACACACCGTGCGAATGCGATGATAGAGCCTTGACTTGGGTTTAAGATTTTAATTGCAGGTAGTAGGGTCTTTTAATGCTGGTATTGGTCATCAGTTTACCACAACACCGTGCGAATGCGATGACAGAGCTTAGACTTCGGATTAAGATTTCGTTAACTTGTTTTATCAAATAGAACAATATAACAACGTCTGAACTTCTGTTACATTCTGCAAATCTGTTAATTGTATTACAATTTTGCTTTGTTTTTTGTATTTTGATATACAGGTGTTCATTGATTTACTAACGCCAATAAAAGCCGAAATCCTGGCTCTACCGTCGTTAGTATTCTATATTATAATAATTATTATTATCAATAATAGAAGTAGTAATAGTAGTAATAGCTATAGAAGTAACATAGTAGTATTTGTATTATCGTGATTGTCTTCATCACCGTTATTATCATAATAATTAGTATTGTTGACACAATCATAATATTAGTCATTTTCATTATCATTCTCATTATCAATATAAACGATTGATGGATTCTTGGATTTTTACATTCCTTTTTCTGAATATATAATATATATATATATATATATATATATATATATATATATATATATATATATCATATATATCTCATATCATATCTCATATCATATCTGCCTGGAAGCTCGATTTTTTCTTTATTATCATTATTGTTGCTATTTCATTTCATTATCATATCGCTGTTATTGTTCTTATATCTCGTTCACCTGTTCAGTCTCTTCCCCTTCCCTTTTCTCTCCTCTTTCATCCATCTCCTCACCCATGTCTCCCCTCTTCTACATCCCTTCCCTCTCCCATGTCTCCCCTGTTCTACATCCTTCCTCTCCCTTACCACTCTCTCCTCTCTCCCTCTCTTCTGCCTCCTTCTCTCTCCTCCCCTCCTCTCCCTCTCTCTCCCTTCCTTCTCCCTCATATCTCCCTTCCTTCTCCCTCATATCTCCCTCTTCTCCCTCATATCTCCTTCTTCTCTCCCTCTTTCTCCCTCATATCTCCCTTCTTTCTCCTCATCCCTCCCTTCCCTCCCCTTACCCCTCCCCTCCCCTCTTCTGCCTCCCTTCTCTCTCTCCTCTCTTCTGCCTCCCTTCTCTCCCTCATCTCTCCCTTCCCTCTCCCTTACCCTACCTCTCATCCACCTTCCCCTTGCCCCCTTTCCCCTTTCATTACTAATCCTATTCCTCCCTCACCCAACTCCCTTCCTTCCCACAACCCTACCCTTCCCTCCTTCACCATCACCCCCTTTAACCCTCACTCCGTCCGCCATTTCCACCCCTCCCCCCCCCCCTTCCCTGCCCCCTTTCCCCCCTTCCACCCTTCTCTCACCCTTTCCCCCTTCCTTTTATCCCTCCCTCATCCCCTTGCTCTTGTTTCTCCCTCACCTGTTCCACCCTTCCCTTTGTTTCTCCCTCACCTTTATCACCCCTTTCCATCTTTTCCCCCTGCCACTTTCTACCCTTCCCTCACCCCCTTCTACCCTTCTTTCCACCCTTTCCTCGCGCCCTTCCACCCTTCCCCCATCCACCCTTCAAACTTTCCTTCACTCCCTTTCACCCTTCCCTCTCCCCTTTCACCATTCCACTCTTCTCCTCCCCTCTCCTCACCCCTTCACCCCCTCTCCCTCTCTCTCCCCCTCACCCACCCTCTCCCTCTCCTCCCCCTTCACCCACCCTCTCCCTCTCCCTCCCCCCTCACCCACCCTCTCCCCTCCCTCCCCCCTTCACCACCCTCTCCCTCTCCCTCCCCCCCCCCCTCTCCCTCTCCCTCCCCCCTTCACCCACTCTCCCTCTCCCTCCCCCCTTCACCCACCCTCTCCTCTCCCTCCCCCTTCACCCCTCCCTCTCCCTCCCCCCTTCCTCTCCCTCTCCCTCACCCCTTCCTCCCTCCCCTCTCCCTCACTCCCCTTCCTCCCCCTCTCCTCCCTCTTCTTCCCTCTCCCCCTTCCTCCCTCTCCTCTCTCTCACCCCCTGTCCCCCTTCCCCCTCCCCTCTCCCTCACCCCCTTCCTCCCCCTCTCCCTCTCTCTCACCCCCTTCTCCCCCCTCCCCTCTCCTCTCCCTCCTTCCTTCACCCCCCTCTCCCTCACCCCCCCCTCCCTTCCTTCACCCCCCTCTCCCTCACCCCCCCTCTCCCTCACCCCCCTCACCACCCTCCCCCTCCCCCTCTCTCTCACACACCCCACCTCCTCCTCAGCCTGCTCTACTCGTCCTGCTTCGGAGGGGCGTGCCTCATGGACGAGCGGCAGATGGAGCGGGTGAACGGCTGGAGCAACCGCTTCTACGGCTGGGGCGGAGAGGACGACGACATGTGGGAACGCATCCACGCCGAGGGCATGGAGGTCAGGCGCTACCCGGGGTTCATAGCCACGTACACTATGCTGGACCACAAGAGGGCGCGGCTCAATCCGAGGAGGTAGGTGGGGGGGGTGTATTAGGGGGGTGGGGGAGGGGGTGGAGGGAGGGGGTGTATTAGGGTGGGGGTGGAGGATGGGGTGGAGGGATGGGAGACGGTGGAGGGTAAAGGGAGGGATGGGGAGAGGGAGGAAGGGTGGAGGATGGGTGGAGGGATGGGGTGGAGGGATGGAAGACGGTGAACCACAAGAGGGCCCGGCTGAATCCGAGGAGGTAGGTGGGGGGGGGGATGGGGTGGAGGGATGGGATGGAGGGGGATGGGGTGGAGGGATGAGGTGGAGGGATGGGGTCGGGGAGGGGGTGGGAATGGGAGACGGTGAACCACAAGAGGGCCCGGCTGAATCCGAGGAGGTAGGTGGGGGGGGTGGAGGGGATGGGGTGGAGGGATGGGAGACGGTGGAGGGTAAAGGGGGGAAGGGAAACGGTGGAGGGTAAAAGGAGGGAGGGTGAGGGTGGAGGGTAAAGGGAGGAAGGGTGAGGGAGAGGGAGAAGGTGGAGGGAGGAAGGGAAGGGGTGGGTGGGGGGGTAAAGGTGAGGAGGAGAAGAGGGGGAGAGGGTGGAGGGTAAAAGGAGGAAGGGTGAGAGATGGAGAGGGTGGAAGGTAAAAAAGAGGAAGGGGGTGTGGGATGGGAGAGGTAGGAGAGATGGAGAGGGTGGAAGGGTGGAGGGAGGGAGAGGAAGAGGGTGATGGGAGAGGGGGAGAGGGAGGGAGAGAGAAGAGGGTGATGGGAGAGGGAGGGAGAGGAAGAGGGTGATGGGAGAGGGAAGGAGAGGAGAGGTGATGGGAGAGGGAAGGAGAGGAAGAGGGTGATGGGAGAGGAAGGAGAGGAAGAGGTGATGGGAGAGGGAAGGAGAGGAAGAGGGTGATGGGAGAGGGAAGGAGAGGAAGAGGGGTGATGGAGAGGAAGAGGGTGATGGGAGAGGGAGGAGAGGAAGAGGGTGATGGAGAGGGAAGGAGAGGAAGAGGGTGATGGGAGAGGGAAGGAGAGGAAGAAAGTGGAAGGGGGGGGAAGGGAGAGTGTGGAAGGGGGGGAGAGGGTGGAGGGTAAAGGGAGGAAGGGATAGAAGATATGAGAGGGAGAGCTGTAGACGAACGCTGTTAATCACTAACAATTTTTTTTAGATATCTATTTCTTTTAGCTTTCCATTATTTAGATTTTCATCGCTATATCAGCATGTGTCTATATTGTCTTATGTCTTTCATTCATTTATCTTATATTTTCTTACTTTTACAATGTACAGTTAGTCCTAAAGTGAGTGTGTCTGATGGCCACTCTGCCAACCTTGTTTTCTTCTTTTGTGATAAAAAAGAACTTCATATATTTTTCCAGAGAAAATCGAGTCACTCTTGGATTCTTTAAGGCCTATTTCTATCGGTTTCCTATTCAAAACACGTTCTCGACATGTTCCAAATAGATGGCACAAACCCTCTGTTTACCGGTTTCTAATCTAAACACGTTTTCGACAGGTATGAATTGATAGCACAAACTCTTTTTTTTTAATCGGTTTCTAAAACAATCGCGTTCTCGAAGTTACGAATCTATAGCCCACATTCCCCCCCCCCTTTCTCCCGGTTTCTAATCCTAACACGTTCGCGACAGGTACGAAAATAGAGATCCAAACTTTCCCCTTTTCCCGATTTCTAAACAAAAAACCTTGAAGTTATCAGTCAGCGGCCCACACTTTCTCTTTTTCACGGTTTCTAATCCAAATTCAGTCTCGACAAGTACGAATTCATGACACAATTTTTATTTTTATTACCGTCGGTTTCTAAGCAAAACACGGTCTCCTTTTCTACCTGTTTCTAATCCAAATATAGTCTCAACAAGTACGAATTGATGGCCTAAACTTTTTATTTCTATCGGTTTCTAATCCAAACACGTTCTCGACAGGTACGAACTGTTGGCCCAAACTATCCCCTTCTCCCGGTCTCTAATCCAAACACGTTCTCAACAGGTCTCTCTCTCTCTCTCTCTCTCTCTCTCTCTCTCTCTCTCTCTCTCTCTCTCTCTCTCTTTCTCTTTCTCTTTCTCTTTCTCTTTCTCTTCTCTTTTCTTTCTCTTTCTCTTTTCTCTTTCTCTTTCCTCTTTCTCTTTTCTCTTTCTCTTCTCTTTCTTTCTTTCTCTCTCTCTCTCTCTCTCTCTCCTTAATAATAGAAGAAGAGACAGACAGACAGACAGACCAGAGAGACAGACAGACAGACAGACAGACAGACAGACAGACAGACAGAGACATGACACGAATTGATGGCCCAAACTTTCCCCCCCTTTTTCGGTCTCTAATCCAAACACGTTCTCGACAGGTACGAGCTGTTGGCCCAAGCTAAAAGCTACTACAAGGAAGATGGACTGAACACACTCAACACCCTAGTTCGACGACCCGGCGCCTTCTCTACACGAATTCTTGTCGAAAATCTGAACTGCGTGGAGTGATGAAATTTCTGTTTATATTGAGAAAATGTGTATTTATAAAATTTTTCTATTTTAGACTTTGTTTAAGGTTCCTTTGTTTTATACATTTTTTTTTTAATTTATTTTTTTTGAGGGTGGGTGAGTGGGTGAGTGGGTGTGGTGATGAGTGAGGTGGGTGAGTGAGTGGGTGAGTGGGTGAGTGGGTGAGTGAGTGAGTGGAGTGATGAGTGGGGTGGTGGGTGGGTGAGTGGGTGAGTGGGCTGGGTGGTAGTGGTGGTGGTGGGTGGGTGGGTGGGTGTGGTTTTGGTGGTGGGGTTGGGTGGGGTGGGTGTGTGGGTGGGTGGGGGTGGTGGGTGGGGGTGGGTGGGTGGGTGGGGTGTGTGAGTGGGTGGGTGGTGAGTGGTAGAGTGGGTGGGTGAGTGTGAGTGAGTGAGTGAGTTGGGTGGGTGGGTTGGGTGGGTGGGTGTGAGTGAGTGAGTGAGTGAGTGGGTGAGAGTGAGTGAGTGGAGTGAGTGGGTGGGTGGGTGGAGTGGGTGTGGGTGGGTGGAGTGAGTGGGGTGTTGGGTGAGTGGGTGGGTGGGTGGGTGGGTGAGTGAGTGGGTGGGTGGTGGTGGGGTGGGTGGGTGGGGGTGAGTGAGTGGGTGGTGGGGTGGGTGGGTGAGTGCGTTGAGGTGGGTGGGTGCAGTGAGTGAGTGAGTGAGTGAGTGAAGTGAAGTTTGAGTGGGTTGGGTGAAGTGGGTGCGTGTGCGTGTGCGCGTGCGCGTGCGCGGCGCGGGCGTGCGTGTGTGTGGTGTGTCGGAAATGATTTATCTGGCAATGTCAAGAACGGTGATAAAGATAGATGATAAAAGATGACGCACAGGAGATAAGAAGGTTACCGTCACGTCTTGATTGAATGAGAATGAATGAATATCACACACACACACACACACACACACACACACACACCACACACACACACACACACACACACACACACACACACACACACACACACCCACACACACACGTACACACACACACACACACACATAAACACACACACACACACACACGAAAAAACGTATAGTAGATATAGATAAAGGAAGATACAGGTTAATAGAGATCGGACACCCTTTACCTACCACATCAATCGCAAGTGACGATGTTATTTCGCCGAATTTCTTATGTTGCCTAAGTAGCCTTTCTCAGTCGTATCTTATCTTATGGTATCTATAAGAAATCAATACAATAAGTAAGATTATCAATTGGATATATCAGTCAAGAGCTGAGAAGATAGGTGACCTGTCTGTGACCTGTCTGTGACCTGGTGGTGAGATTTACCATTTTTCACAAGAGATGATACTGGGTTTGTATAAATCAAAATTTATTTGAAATGCGGATCCCCAAATCCCATATATCTATGACTTGTGAAATCTATTATGTTGTATATGTATGTGTATACATGTATATGTATATATATACGGTTTACCATTTGGGCATCTTATCTTAAGGAAAAAATCATTTATTCTGAAAACGTTGCGAAGGTTTCTAAGCCTTCATCATTAGTGCTGATACGGGGAACCAGTCAAAAAGGCAGTAAACAAAAAAGGAAAAGAAAAAGAAGAAAAATATAATATATAAATACAATATAATGATTTTTAAATGCTTTGAACTGAAAGAGAACAAAGATGCAAATTGAGAAATACGTAATGCAAATGAATACACAATACAACAATATATGGAACAAAAACGCATATACATGAATCATAGATGTTGGAAAGGCAAGCAAGGCAAGTTGATATAGTCTAAAGTGGGTGTTCATTGTGAAGGAAGACCACCTAGTGGGTCAACAAAGTGGTTGCGGTGGTTGTGTTGTTCAATTCAGATTTCATTCAATCTAGATAGTTGACGTATAGCAACTATCACCCAACACCCCTCCATTAATTACTTTCTTGTGCTATATATAATGACTTAGTGTCTAGCACATTTTCCTTTGTTTTTAACCGATAACCATGAACCATTCAGATTTCGTATAAAGGAGGATTTTAAGATGCATTTTTTGCGGGAAGAGAGGATTCTAAAATCGGTGTTAGAGAAAGGGTACGAGGGATATTGGAGAAAGATACACTACTGTAGAACACATGGCAGAGTTACATCTCGGTGGTTGTTTCAGAAAATGCAATAGTGTTGCTGAAGACTAAAGTAAATTCAGTTAGAGAGTAATTAATTCACAAGTGATTTTACTTACCTATTTCCTAATTTCAAAGATTATAAACTACCCATATACGGCAGCCTCGCATATCTATGGTCCTTTTGGCAATAGAGGCAGTTTCTGTTCGTGGAT